TGTGTCAGCGAGCACCCAGGTGCTGCCCGGAGAGCTCCTGCACCCTTACTGGGGCCATCCTTCTCCCGTAGAGACCGTGAAGAGCGTGAGCAGCGCCCAGAGCACRTTGTCGTAGTGGAAGTCGTACTTCTTCCACTCCCGCTTCTGCGCCTTCACCTCGTTGTCCTTCTCGTAGACCAGGTACTCCCCCCTGCGCGGGACGCGTGGTGGCACCGCAGCGCCCGGGGGCACCCGCGGGAGCCCCGCGCCCCCACGGCCCTCGTCCCCACCTGCAGTCCTTCTCGAACTCCTTGGACTCGTCGGTGCAGTAGAAGAACTTGCCCTTGAAGAGCTGCACGGCCACCACGGCGAAGATGAACATGAAGAGCATGTAGACGATGAGGATGTTGAGGACGTTCTTCAGCGAGTTCACCACGCAGTCGAAGACGGCCTGCGAGGGGGACGCGGCGTGGGCTTGGTGGCACCCTGTGACGAGCAGGGACCCCAACCTCGAGGATCCCCCACCCCGGGGACCTCCTCACCCTGGCCGTGACTCACCTTGAGCTTCGGGAGCCTCTTGATGGTCTTGAGGGGCCGGAGCACGCGGAGCACGCGGAGGGACTTGATGGTGTTGATGTCCTTCCCCTTGCTGCTCCCGCTGCCGGGGACACGGGGCGCCGTGAGCTCCCGGCCCCCCAGGCTGCCTCCGTGTCCCCCCGTGTCCCCCGGGGCTGCCTCCATGTCCCCCCATGTCCCCCGGGCACCCTATGTCCCCGGGGCTGCCTCCGTGTCCCCCCGTGTCCCCGGAGCTGCCTCTGTGTCCCCTGGGCACCCCGTGTCTCCCCGTGTCCCCCGGGCACCCCGTGTCCCCCCGTGTCCCCGGGGCTGCCTCCGTGTCCCCCTGTGACCCCCCATGACCCCTGGGCTGCCCCCGTGTCCCCCATCCCCATCCCACCCGCCGGCGCTGCCCACGACCCCCCACTTCCCGCTGCCCGGGTTCCCAGCACGGGGCAGCTGGGACCCGCCGCGTTCCCCTTGGGACCCCTCGTGTTCCCCCAAGGGGACCCGGGGTGTCCCCCCTGCACTGGGGGCGTGGGGCCGGGCGGGGGGCTCCAAGCGACGCACACGCAGCGCACGGAGGACGGGGCGCAGCGGGGACCCCGCGGGCGGCTCTTTACCGTGAGCTGCTCCTGCGGCGGCGGCGGGACGGGAGAGACGAGGCCGGGTGAGAGGGGAGGCCGGCACGGCAGCGCCCGCGGAGAGGAGACCCGGGCCTCCCTAAGGGACCCCTGCCCCAGGGAGCGGGCATCCTTGCTATGGGACTGGGCATCCTCCCCTATGGGACTGGGCGTCCTTCCCTATGGAACTGAGTGTCCTTCCCTATGGGATTGGGCGTCCTCCCCTATGGG